TCTGTGTTCAGGTATATTTTAATGATTCTTGATCTGATGCAAGCCCTGGTCTTCTTAATTGCTTGCTGTTCATCTGAAAGCTGGACCATGTCTAAGGATGATAGAAGAAGAATTGCTGCCTTTGAGTTGTGGTGCTGGAGAAGAGTATTGAACATACCATGAACTGTCAAGAGATCAAGTAGGTCTATGCTGGAGAAAGTGAGACCAGGGTGCTTCTTGGAAAAAAGAATGGTGAAACTTTGTCTCGCATTCTTTGGACATGTTGTCAGGAGGGAGTGATCTTTGGAGAAGGAAATCATCCTTCATCATCAGCAGAGGAAAGGATGTCCTTCGATGAGATGGATAAACTGTAGCAAATGAACTCAGGTGTGTCTGAGATGGTGAAGTTGACTCAGGGATAGGCCAAGGTTCAGAACATTGTTCAAAGGGTCATTATAAATTGTAGTCAACTGGATGACACATAACAACAACTGAAATAGTGCATCCTGACAGTCTAAATTACATAGGAGATAATAGATATGTTTTGCACAGTTGAAGTCCATGATAAATTGAAACCTAATGAGATTCCAATGATAGAGTGCGATTTCTTGTGTGCACAGAACCTATATATTTCTTGAAGAAATAGGCTTATTTACTTGGGGACTGGAACACCTCATCCAAGTGCCTTCATACAAACCAGATTGAAAGAAGGAAGGAAGAAAACCTAGTATGAGCTCTTGAGTTACTACCCCCCTTCAGAATCAGATTCAAAGCCTACAGGCAAAGTGGACTTTCCTCAGGTGAGTAATACACATACAATGGACCTACAATGCATTCTGTCCATTTTCAAAGTAAGTTAAAATGTCTCAGCTCAACAAAGCACTAGCCCTTATGGTATTTGTCTTTTCATTGCTGCATGACTTTCACAGCATCATTGGTCTATTCTCTGGGTAGTAGACGACTCACTGTTTTATATTGTTCATTAGGACTGCCAAGGGATTTCTGACTTGTGCTATCAAGTTTGCATTTGGATCATTTGAATTTACTAGATAGACCAGTACATTCTACCTCTGTGTTGTGACATTCACATCCATGGGGATGGATGGCTCTGTCATTAATTAAATTGTCTTCCAAAATATATTCCAACTTGAACCAGCTGTGATTCTTAGTAGATTGGCAGGTAAGTAATGATGTGGTTTAATAGATATGTATTGATGTCATCTGCCAGTATGCAATGATGTAATCATCCCCAATGGTGTGATCTGATATGATTATCCTCCGTTTTGTAATCTATATAAATCCTGACCTCTAGGAGTTAAAGAAATAGAATTAGGCTATTTTAATGAAGGTTGGCGTATATCTGTTATGTTCATGAGGCAGGATGAGTGAGGAATGTAAAAACCTTCCTTAGATAACCACACTGAGTGCCATCTTTTATCTTAAAAGAGTTAAAAGGAAAGAAGAAAGCAGAGAGAAGGATCTACTACCACAAAGAATGAAGACCCAAGATGTCCTACAGACCTGTGATCCCTATGCTAAGAACCTCCTCCACCCAGGGGGAAATTGATGACATATTAAAGGAACATTGGGTCCACACATATTTAATGAAGGCCAGCAAACACAGAATGAAAGCCTTCCCCTAGAGATGGTGTCCTGTATTTGAACTTCAAGCCTTCTAAACAGTGTGAGAATGTATTTCTGTTTCCTAAAGCCATCCACCTGTGGTTGTGCAGACTCAGAACTCAAACTCATTACTATTGAGTCACAGTTGGCCCTCCAATGAATTTCTAATGCCATAATGCAAACCACCAAAGAGCTACAGTTTTTGGGTCAGCAGCACGACTCCTTTTCAACTCCACCACCTGAGTTCTCTCTTCTGTTATAGCAGCAGGGATAACTAAGACAGGCACAAAGTTTGTAAATCAACACAGAATTCAATTCCATTTACCGTAGTGTTTTATTAGTAAGAGACCATTTCAGCCTAAAAAGCACGCTCCAGTCTCCCTCAGCTCATTTCAGACTTTTAGTATCTCAGAGCAGATAGTGTTTGCTCTAAACTGACCATCATTGCTGTGCCTCTTTTCAACTGGGGGAGCTGGCCTACCTGATGAACTGGTTGTAACTCCAGAGTTGAAGGGGCTGAAAATAAACACTGATACGCTGGGAATGAGGGTGTTAGAAATGAGAATACAGAAACCTGGAAATAACCACAGGAAGGACTTGTGTTTGCTCCCCACCCTAAACCAGCAGGCGGCCTTGCAGCCTTGAAAGAAAGCTGGCTGCCACTTGGAGAGAGAGGAAGGTGGACACAGAGCCCACAGGGAAGGTCATTTCTGCCCAGGCCTTTGATTCTCACAGAGAAAGCAAGCAGTAAGAGTATCTCAGCCAAATCTTTCTCTAAGGACCTTTCCAAGGCTATTGTGATCATACACATCATCTGAAAGAAGAAAGAAGACAATTACATGCATTGTGCTGAGTGCCCAATCATGTCTTGTTTTATTTTTGCATACCACACAATTTGTAGGGATTATTTCTGCATCTGTGGAAGTCCTACATCCACTTCCCATTAAAAGAATATTGTTGCTTTTCCTATTAGTTCATTAGATTTTCAGCTGCTTTCTCAAGTTTTTCTCTCTTTTTGCAGAGCAAAGGACAGCCAGATGCTTGTTTCCTAGTCTCTGAAAAGAAGTTTTTCAGGTCTCTTAGCAAAGAGTGTGGGGTAAGAGTGCTGGTTCTGGCTTCTTGTCTACTCCTAGTTTCAACAATCCCATAGTGAACCATTTCAGGCTGAAGATTCCCAGTGTCCAGAACTGGTTTCTAGCCTACAAACAAAATAAAGAGTCCTTTTCCCTCTGGCTTGACCATGGGCTTCTAGAAATCTCCAGTGCATTTTGCTTCTTGAATTAAGAGACTAGTATCTAGAAATTAAGGATTTTTCCAGATGTCAGATTTTGAACAGCAAGTCATTAGAACAAGAGATTGAAGAAGTATCCAAGCAGTCATTTGTTTCTTGTTAATTGTTCAAAAAGGGAAAATTGTTTTAAAAATAAGCACTTGCAAAAGTCTTATGCAGACCTCTTAAGCATGCAAAATCTAGCACTGGGTTCCCTCTCTTCTGTTCTCTGCTTCCTCTTCAGCATTTCCTTTAGACAGTAGGTTGATGAGAGGAACAGCCCATCTCATGCTCTCTGTGACCTCTAACCAGCTGCAGATCAGTCTCATGGGTAATTCAGGGAGGAAAAAATCACTTGGATCATGTTTTGTGATGGCTGGACCAAAGGTCAAAGATGACAGTGACACTATCACAATTTTAGAGCTGAATGTAATTTCCATAAGCAAGAAGGAATGATTGTTGAGGCATCCTCATCTCCCTAGAGAGTCGTTTGTCAGAAAGAATGGCCATGCTTCCTCAGTGGTCCGAGCTCGAAGGTCTGTTGAAAGTATTCCATGAATGTGGTTGGGGCCTTGGTACATGATGAGAAACACCTTTATCTTTGTTATTTTTGCTTTTTTTACTTTTGGAGGCTTTCCAGTTTTCTGACATTGGCAGTAGAAATGTGTGCATTATCAGAAACAGTGCTTATTTGTTATAAAAATATATTCCATGCACCTTTTGAGTCCTCTGTGTGAGGGGAAAAGCATCTTACACTTTGATATACATATATTTTTGCCTTTAAAAAATTCTATCATTCTGGCCAACAAGCACATGAAGAAATGTTCAAAATCCCTAGCCCTGAGAGAGATGCAAATCAAGACAACCATGAGATATCATCTCACTCCAGTAAGACTAGCAAAATTTAACAGAACAGCAAGCAACAAATGCTGGCGAGGTTGTGGAGAGACTGGAACCCTTATTCACTGTTGGTGGGAGTGTAAAATGGTGCAACCACTGTGGAAAGCATTGTGGCACTTTCTCAAAAGTTGCAAATAGAGATACCATTTGACCCAGCAATTCCACTACTGGGAATATACCCTAAAGAGACCATAAATGACATCCAAGTAGATATATGTATACCCATGTTTATCGTGGCTTTGTTTACAGTAGCAAGGAGTTGGAAACAACCTAAATGCCCATCAACAAACGAATGTGTAGAGAAGCTGTGGTATATTCACACAATGGAATACTATGCTGCATTGAAAAACAAGGAACTCATGCAATATTATTCAAAATGGGTGACCCTGGAGGACATTATGCTGAGTGAGGTATTTCAGTCACAAAGGGACAAATGCTATATGGTGCCACTGTTGTAGAATGAGGCTGGCATTGGGGTGGGGGTAAGACTGAGAAAAACTGGATGAAATATGTTTACAGCATTGAAGTCTATGGGGGAGAGAATAGTCTAACAGTATCATATTTTAGGGCATTATTTTTATTGTAGGAGTATGCAATGAGGGTTGCATGGGGAGGTGTGGTGGGGATTGTGTACCAATGAGGGAGTTTTTCTTTTGCTTTTCGGGGAGAGGAGCAAACAGGGAGGGGGAGGGGGGAGGGGTTTGTACGGGGAGAAGGGTGCAACAATGAATGAATGGAATTCCAAAATCTCTATAGATGTTCATTGAAATGAAAAGTAAACAACCTAAATTAAAAAAAAATTCTATCATTCATATATATTGTTTTTCTCTGATTATAATGAATGAGATTAATTACAATATCTCATCTAACCCCATTTTACCTTGCTTTTTCCTTACCCAGCCTCTCTATTAATCTTTGCTCCCCTTTCCCTCCTATCTCTTCCCTCTTAATCCACCTTTCCTTAGATTTTATGGTATTCTTTTTCCCCCCTCATTCAATCATGCATATTTTTGTTTCATACCATTTAGAGTAGTAATTTTCCTTTTAGTCACTTATCTAAAGCAATTTCCCACCATATGAAACTTCCATAGTCTTCTTTGGCTTCCCTTATTTTCCAGTTGGGCCTTTAGTACATAGTAAATATTGTCATGTTTTGGTCCCTTTAGGGGTTTTGGTCCTTTTTGTTTTCATGGTGTAAGGGCTGAGAAAAGCTGACCCTATCTAAAAGTGGCAAAAACAAGTCCACGCCCCTATTTGGGAATTAGGAGAGCATTTGTTTCTCAGTACATTAGGTCTGCAGCTACATTAGTTGTCTCTGTGTCTTTAAAGTTTGCAAAAGGAAACTGAAATCCAGCAAGTCGTATCAGGAGTCCATTCAGAAAGTGAACAAAAAAGCAAATGAAAACAACCCAGAACGAGGTGGTGTAGTTTTCACTCTGAGTTTTGTAAACATATGTTCCTTCTTTATAATTTGCAATTCTTTCTGACAGATGATGGATTTTCACTTCGGAGGCAAACAATACCATGACAAGACAGCCACAGGAACCTGAAACAGAAGGGACAGACAACATGGTGGGACAAATAGTTCCTGATTGTCAGGGACAGGAAAAGGGGTCAATGTGCAAACTAAAGAGATGGATTGTTACAAGTCTGTAATCATGAGCCTGAGTCTCCTACCTAAGGAAGGCTTGGACATGGCTCTTAAGGAGGAGGATATATGGGTGTGTAAAATCCGGCTCTTTCTATAAACACTGGGCAAGGCTTCTCTTTTCATGATGGGGTAGATGAATTGATGGTCACCATTAAAACCATTGTTAGGACGAGGCTGCCTGGGAACAGATTTCTTTCTGCATCCAGACCCTGAAGGATAAATGCCAGCTCCACAGTTACCTTGTGAAAGACCTCAGGGCTCCAGCACAGGGTTACCAGAATACCTTTTCTTCTCCAACCTGGGAGAAGCTAAGCAAAGCCAGCCTTGAATAAAGTGTTGAAGGAGATAGTAAGTGTCCTCCTTGATCGTAATAGAACTCAGAATGTTTAGAGCATATATGACCATCCTGAACTATATTATTTATCTGAGAGTAGCTTACCCCACAGGACTGTAAAGTTTTCTTGAATTATATAAATTAGGGCCCTGGTCTCCACCCACCCACTCATTCCTGCTTCCTGTGGTGGAAACTGGAGCAAATGGCTGGAACTCCAAGAGAAGACCAGGCAACCTCAGAAATGGCAGCTATGTACATTGAAAAAATAAGAAAATAGGAGTCTGGATCTCACCAGATTAATATTAGACGTGTATGTTTTTATTGTTATGTGTGACAAAAATAAACATCTATTCTGTGTAATCTCTATTACTATTATTCTGATTTATCACTCTTTCCAAGTCAAGTCTAAGAATCCTAGCTGATGTCACTGTGGTTTGGAGTGAGAGGTCACCAGGACAAGATACTCCATTTTGGGTAGGGCTTGGTAACCCAGACAGGGCCTCCTCCTTGAGTAGAGTGAATATGAGATCCTGGGCAAGGCAGTTGGCACAGGGCACAGAGGCAGGTAGCTAGAGGAGCTAGGTTGGGGTATAGAGGATCACCAGGACTCTACAGGGCTTCCACGACTAGTGTTGTGGCCAGGCCCCTTGAGAGTTCACTAAACAGGAGGCCAGCTGAGACAATTTCTGCTAAGATTAGTGATGAGTTCTTAGATCAAGTAATTTGTATTCAGACTCTGATTTGCTGTTGTTATGTGCCAACGAGTCAGAACTGACGCATAACTGATCCTCCAAAAGGCTTTCAGAGCCTGTAAATTGCACAGGAGGAGATTGCCCATCTTCATCCTGTGGAGCAGCTGGTGGATTCAAGCCAATGGTTTTAAGGTTGGCAGTACAACTCCTTACCACTAGGCCACCAGAGTTACTAGTATAGATTTCATGTATTCTTTTCTTATTCCACATCTTTGCCATATTCTTTAACCTGCCTTACCTTCTACCAACAAAACAAACCAAACAACCTGACTATGCCAAAATGGGCAACCCAAATGAATGCTTTAAAGAGCCTCATTCTTCCCATCAGGTTTATAATGCCTTAAGGATGCGTTGTTGTTGTTAGGAGTTGTTGAGTCAAGTTCAACCTCCAGAGACTGTATGCACAACAGATCTGAACCCTGTCCTATTCTGTAAAATCCTCACACTTCCTGATACACACCCATTGTGGCAGTCACTGTGTCAGTTCACCTGGATGAAGCTCTTTCTCTCTTTTATCAACTTTTTGATAAAAGACCTCTTTTTGTCTTTCTCTCTTTTGCCTTTCTGAATACTGTGTCCCTCTCCAAGGAATAGCCTTTCCTAGCAATGTGTCCAAAGCATGTGAGATGAAACTTTATCATCTTTGCCTCCAAGGAGTATTGTGGTTGCACTTTCTCCAAGAAATATTTATTCTTCTGACTGGTCATGAAATATTCAGTACTCTTCTCCAACACCACAGCTTAAAGGCATCAATTCTTCTTCCATCATCTTTATTCATTGTCCAGTTCTCACATGCATAGCAAATGATTGGAAAGACCATGGCCTGAATTAGATGCACCTTAGTCCTCAAATTGACATTATTGCTCCTCAATAATTTGGAAAGGACCCTGAATGCAATACATCCCTGATTTCCTGACTGCTGGTACCAAGGGTATTGATTGTAGATCCAAGTAAGATGAAGTTGTTGACAATTACAATCTTTTGTAAATCTATCATGATTTGCCTATTTTTCCAGTAGTAAATATTTTTGTTTTCTTGATGTTAGGAGAAGTGGGTGCCTTTAATTCTTCATTTATAGTCAATTCAAATACCCTGAGAGCATCAATATAGTGACTTAAAGTTATTCATCCATTCATTCATGTATTCAGTTAAACTTATTACATGCCAAACACAGAGTTAATGATAGATTTAAACACTAGAGAAAATACTCATAATTTCTGCATTCACAGAGAGTATAACCAGCAGGGAACATAGATAAAATAATAATAATTAATTACACTGAATGTGCCATCTGAGAGTACAAGGTGTTATTACTAAGAGGATGGCCACCATCATGGAAAGTTCTTTAGATGAGGCTGGAAAGAACTGCAGGAAAAGTTAGCTGAGTAAAGGGAGGCTGAACTGTGCAGGATGGGTGTTCCAGGCACTGAGTCCTACAGCTTAAAATACTTTCTCATTCCTTTTCAGAAGTCCAAGGTTGAGTTGAAATAGAGGTAGAGACAAGATAGGGGGCAGGGGTAAGTGAAAAAATAAATTACATTTATTGGACCTCATCATAATACTCCCCCAAATAATAAAATTATATACTTTTCTTGACACTTCTGACAGCCTCAGAGCAGAAGTTGAAACCGCTATTCCTCTGTAGAATTTGTCAGTTTGGCTCTTTCAAACCAGAGCTCTCCCCTGGCAAAACTCTATTATTCCTTTATTGTTAGAGTCTTCCAAGAGCAGCAATGCTGTTTTCTCTTTATCTTTTATTTGAAAATTGTGGAGAACATGCCGTTACTTTTACCATAAGAGGTTCATTGTCTGTGAAGATGGTAAATTTCAGATATAAAGAAAGCGCAGGTAGTTTTTTAGCTCTTGAAAGGAAAATGTAAGCTCCGTTTCCTTTTCAAGTTGTTAAATATTTTAAAGGCATTGCTTGGTTAATTAGACAGTGTAGCAAGCTTGTATTTCAAGTTTCTAGAGTTTAAGTTTTCAATGCTTGAAAATTACTCACATACTTTGCTAGGAAGGGTAAGGGGTTGGCGAAGGAGAGGAAGTCCCTTAACCACGTAGGTTGACACAGTGACTGTTACAATGGGCTCTTGTGTGTCAGGAAGTGTGAGGATGGCACAGGATAGAACAGAGCTCAGAACTTTGGTTCACAGGGTCGCGATGAGTTGTACTTGATGCAACTACACCTAACAACAACAATAACAACAAGAGTATACGTTGCCGTGTTGCCTCAATGCTTAATACCATTTGCTATATCTGATATTTCAAGCATGCATGCTCCTAAAAGAGTGATTCCTCTAGAAGTTGATCTGAGTTTTTGCTCGGATTCTGTAATTGTCCACATGGGCAGCTTTGTTGTTTTAAAGTGAGACCACAGGAACCTAGTTTCAGATGGCCCTACTATGAAAATTCAAAGGCACAAAAGGAAGGGAAAAAACACTGTGTAAAGTTGGGATGTTTGTACTTCTTTTGGCCCATGGCTCTAACAAGGACATGGGACCAAGGATCAGTATTATGATTCTTGGCTAAAAGATGGGCATGAGGAAGTTTTGTTGGTAGCCTGGATGTGAGAACATGGTGGAACATGATTCCAGCATCGCTCTTGATAATAGCAAGAATCCTCGAAGGTCCTGCTCTGGACATCTTCTGCAGAAGTCCCCACCTATCAGGTGGAGACCAATGAGAGGTGATCATTTATAGTGCTGACCTGAGTTCTTTGTTCTGAAACCCCAGAATTCCCTGCCTAATACTAAGCCTATTTCCAGGGTCCGCATAGAACCTTTCTAACTCCTTGGGAAGCTGGTCCTTCCAAAGGTAACTTGGTGACCTGAGACTTGGGGGACTATTGTTGGAGGGAGTGTGGTCATAACTCATATATGCCGTAGAGCATATGGCTTCATATGTGGGATGAGACCAGATTCAGGAAGAGAAGTGAATGGGACAGTGGCTATTTTATTCCTGTCACTATATTCAGGTGAAAAATTCCAATTGCTACTCTTAGTAGCTCTTAAATAAACTGAAGACTGCATAACCCAGATTGTTGATGAATCTTCCTCCAGTCCTGATGCCACATTTTTCCTGTTATTTTAATGACTTTGAATATTGAGTTACTTTCACACTGAATGGAATAGCTGAGTTACAGGATTGTCACAGCATGTTTAAAATTCTAGACACTGCACACTCTCCTGTGGTGGTGGTTGTCTGGGTCTGCAGAACCATATCGGGTCCTCTCTCCTTTAGTTCTTATAACATAAGAATGCAGATTTCAGATAATGGGAGAGACGCTTCTTCATCCCTAACTGGCCCTAGTGGTGTCTATACTGTTATGGTTAGGAATACCCTGCCAAGGTGTGTGGGAGTCAAGGGCAGTGGTGATGTCCTCTAAGGGAAAGAGAGCTCTGGAACACGCTTCAATTATTATTAAGGTTGTATATTGTCAAATAACAAATCCGAATTTCCATTCTATTTAAGGAAGTTAACATGTCATCTTTAAATTCTTGTCCTGATACCTAATATTAGAGGAATTCTATGCCCTACAGAGGATGTTGAATAGGCAATTTCTTTCTCTAAGGAAGTTTGGAGATGATAATGGGATGGGGAAGCCATAGCTTTTCAGGTGCCACTACTGATTTTGTGTGAAATTATGTAATCTCACCAGAAACTGTAGCCAAAGTAAGGTCACCAGCAGTGATTTCTCCCGTTTGTGGGGAGCTGTTATATGGTGTCTCTAGAATGAAGGGATGCTCCAAAAAGAGGGCAGAGGGACAAGGACAACAGATTACTTCTTTTCCCCTTTTTGAAAGATTATT